TTTAAAAAACTGACATGAAAGACTCTGTCCATATGGCTCTAAGGACTGAAGTCTTAAGGAACTGTTGATCAATTCAAAAAGTAATTTTTAAAAACTATTCCCTCAAATCATATGGATCAGGCACTTTGCACAAATTCAGAGAACTGGCCCATTTCGTAACTGCAATCTTAGAACGGCGGAGCTGAAAAGGACCCCAAGGATCATCCAGTCCAGCCCTGTTAAGGAGGCCCCGGGGGGAATCAAACTCCCAACCTCTGGCTCCACAGCCAGATGTTTCAACCCCTGAGCTATCGTGTGTTGTCAGCTGCTCCATCATTGCTGGTCTGGTTGTGGTGGAAGATAAAAAGAGCAGCATGCTGTGGATGCTCGCCTATGCAGAGGAAGGACTTAATTTTTTAAAAAATTGCGTTCTCTCTCCCTTCAAAGGAAGAAGCGGAAGAGTTTGTAAAACTGAGTCCAGAGGAGAAGCAGAAACGACTAAAAGCGATTATAAAGAAAATTGATGTGGATGCTAATGGCTTCCTCACAGAAGGTACGTGTTTTGAAAAATGGCCAGCATCACAGAAGGAAGTCATAATAATAATAATAAGAATGGCGTTCATGTTTAAAGAAACCTAGAAAACGCTGTTCCCTTGCTATTTATGGGGAAGAAATCTCTCCACCCTCTCATTGTCTTACGGGGAAACCTCCACAGATGAGCTGAGTTCGTGGATCCAGCAGTCTTTCAGGCGTTATATTGTCGAAGATACAAAGCAGCAGTTTGCCGAATGCGACAAAAACGGCGACGGGGACGTCTCCTGGGAGGAGTACAATATCCAGATGTACGACCATGTGATCGATTTTGATGAAGATACAACTCTGAAAGATGCTGAAGAAGAATCTTTTCGACAGGTAAGAAGACCCCAGAAGGTTGTCCAAGCAGTTCTCTCAGCTGAGGATGGCTTTCTGAGTTCATTCATTCATTCATTCATTCATTCATTCCTGCTTTCGTCATCAGCCTTGTGGGCCACTGAAGGGAAGCTGGAAAGAGGTCTACTTTTGCGGGCCATCGCTCCCGTTCTTCCTTCCTTATTGATCAGCTTTTGCATAGGGAAATAAAATTAGATTCATGGACTGAATTTATCCAGGGGAGAGAAGATTTTGATTTGGAAAGGGTGCTCCTGTTTTTAACCCCAAGTAAGCATTCATGGGCTAGATTCCCACTTCCTGGTTCCGTGAGTGCTATCCTCTGCACTATCCTCTGTATGGATACCTGGGGATGCTGAGCTAAAAAGGGGCAGGCAATTCACTTGAAACACAAGAGCGACACCCTCAGTTCGCTGAGGATAACACTTTGCTTAGGATGAAGTGGGTGGCTACTCACAAAAGATTACAGAACCCATCGCTTCTGATGTGCCCCAAAATGATTCACTGTTTATAGATTACACGGTGTTTTATTTGTTACCTCAACAGCTGTGGCACTGTCTTAGATGGTTTGGTTGCACTTTGGGGGTATGTTTGTGTGGATTCCTGTTTCAATCCACGAGTCAGGCTCTAGCTATGGCTTTTGCACCTTTTGCCTGTTATTTGAGTTGAGGGTGTTTTTTTGTGATTGTCTGAGCATCTAAAAAGTCAGCTTGAATCAATCATGTTTGTTTGAAAGAAACAAAGGTAGAACATGTCCATTGAGGTTTAAATTGATGAATACTGTGTGACTTCCGTCGGCCGTTTGGCTAATTGCCTGTTTTAAACTGTTTTGTCAGCTCCATTTAAAGGACAAGAAGAGGTTTGAAAAAGCTAACAAGGATGGAATGTCTGGCCTGAATCTGGATGAACTTATTGCATTTGAACATCCTGAAGAAGTGGAATACATGAAGGCAGGTTTTGAAGACCATTGCTTGCTTTAAAAACATACAACTGCTTTTCAGATTTTTGAGCTCCTCTAGAAAACCTTTTTGAACCTCCCTACAGGACTCTTTTTGAATAATGGTGCAGATTTTTCTCTTATCTGTTTCACTCTTATCTGTTCCTTTAAACATAGTATTTTTTTTAAAGGAGGGAAATTGATTTTAAGCTGGGGTGCTTCTGTGTAAAAAGTTAGGTATATTTACAGTAAATCTCAGCGCCAAGCAAAAACCCCTGGTTCCCTGCAAGGCACTTCCTTCCTCCCCTTGTAGAAATATGTATTTACTGAAAATATGACTCTGTATGTGCTTTGTGTTTCTGTTTAATCTTTTCCATCAAGTGACGTTCCCATAATTTTTAACAAGAGGCCGGTAAAGCTTATTGTTTCTGTTTAATCTTTTCCATCAAGTGACATCCCTATAATTTTTAACAAGAGGCTGGTAAAGCTTATTTAATAATCATTATTACTGTATTATAATAATAACGTGTTGTCAAATCAATTCTGACTTTCCAAGTAGAGAATACCCCCTTTCTTGGTTGGAAGTTCGATTCCCCACTGTGTGCCTCCTTCAAGTAGAGCCAGCCTGGGTAGCCTTGAGCCAGCTGCACAGTCCCAGGGCTCCCCCTAGAGGAGGGGAACGGTAAACCACTTCTGAGTACTCTTCACCTGGAAAACCCTGGAAAGAGTCACTATAAGTCAGAATTGACTTGACCGCATGCAATTATTATTATTAATATTATTATTAACAATTAATTTAATCCAGTATTGGTTTAGTGATCACTGCAAGCTACATTTGAACCCATATGCAAATTCAAATGCTATGTTTATGAGCAATCTGGCTTTTCTCACCAGATTACTCGTGAACATGTTCAGACTCGCCCATAATCTCAAATAGAGATTGCAGAAAAAACACATAATGTCATAGAAATCTCTCTCTCCTCCCCACCCACCCCCCAGTGATCAGTGTTGACATGATGGATCTTCTTCTGCTATTAGGAGTTTGTTATTCAAGAAACTTTGGAGGAACACGATAAAAACGGTGATGGGTTCGTGAGCCTCGAAGAATTCTTGGGACCCATATGCAAATTCAAATGCTATGTTTACGAGCAATCTGGCTTTTCTCAACAGATTACTTGTGAACATGTTCAGATTCACCCATAAACTCAAATAGAGATTGCAGAAAAAACACGACGTCCCATATGCAAATTCAAATGCTATGTTTACGAGCAATCTGGCTTTTCTCAACAGATTACTTGTGAACATGTTCAGATTCACCCATAAACTCAAATAGAGATTGCAGAAAAAACACGACGTGTCAGAAAAAACACATAATGTCATAGAAATCTCTCTCTCCTCCCCACCCACCCCCCAGTGATCAGTGTTGACATGATGGATCTTCTTCTGCTATTAGGAGTTTGTTATTCAAGAAACTTTGGAGGAACACGATAAAAACGGTGATGGGTTCGTGAGCCTCGAAGAATTCTTGGGTGACTACAGAAGAGATCCAAGTGAGTATAGGTGATGGTGGGGGAGTCTCGGACAGGTTATCCATTCTTTGCAGTCTATTTTCTGATTGCAGCTACTGTTGATGCTCTCGAAGAGGTTATGCGTTGCCTTTGATTCAACATACCTGTTGCAACCAAGTAATTTTCAATGTGTGTTCTTTATTCAAATTGGGTATTTTAATGGACTTTTTAGTCATCACATGCACCAAAGGTGCATGAATAGAAAAAAAAGAAAATTTTGTTTTTTAGCTGCCCATGAAGACCCAGAATGGATCCTTGTGGAGAAGGACCGGTTTTCAAACGATTATGACAAAGATAAGGATGGAAAACTTAACCCCGAGGAGCTGTTAAGTTGGGTCGCTCCCAATAATAAGGGCATTGCTCAGGAAGAGGTAAGAGTTTTGAAAAAAATTCATGCCCAGAATCCATCACATAGTCATACATGGGTATTAAATCCCCCTGGGAATCTGCTGAATTCAAACGCACTTAACGGTGGTGGGTGATTTGTGATGACCCATTGAAGATTTCACTATCATGATTAGCTAGTTAAAACTATTGCAGTAATGCAGATATTAAATAATGAGACCTAAACAGCAGGATCTTATAGATGTCTATCTGCAAGTGAGATTTACTAAATGGGGTTTAGCCCTGGGAAATGGCTATCGCTCTACCAGCTGAAGAATGTGTTTAGTCCATTCAAATCCGTACAGTAGGGGGCGCCAAAGTATTTACAGATTAATTTTTTGTTTCAAGTTCACGTTTGCTGCTTTTCTTCTGCAGGCTGCCCACCTGATTGAAGAAATGGACATGGATGGTAACGGAAAACTTACAGAGGCGGAAATTATAGAGAACCAAGATCTGTTCCTCAGTAGTGAAGCCACAGATTACGGCAGGCAGCTCCATGACGAAGGTTTCTACCACGAAGAACTTTAGTTAAGAAGAAACTCCTTTTGGCCTCTTCGGCCAAAATCCTGTTCTGATTTTACACCAGAGTCACCTAGAGGGTCTAAAGTTTTGGGGACAAAATGGCAGCAAGTTGAAAAGGCAGGATAGACCATTACCTGTTGTGTGCCAAATCGTAGGAGTTGATGCCTCTGCCGATTTCTCAACTGGAAGCAACTCACCTTTTAAAACTGCACCACTTGGGTTATGCTTTGCTGGTGTAACTTCTAGGATTTTGGCCTTTGTTTGTGCATCTGTTTTTGCCTTCCCTTTGTACTTTGCCGTGGAGGTCTTAAGCTTCCATAATTTGGGTATCAAATGGTCTGTTCTTAACAGGAATGGAAATGGACATTCATATTTTAATACTGCTTTTTTGAAATGTACTTGAAAACGGAATGATTTGACTGGTTGATAAGATCGGTACCATTAGTGAGGGTTTTTTTTGAAAAGGATGAAAATGAGGAGAATGAGTTTTATGTTCCTAATAACCCTTCTGTATCAATATTCAGGAGGATTAAAAACCTTCCTTACTTGTAAGGTTTCTCTTTGTATCAACATCTATAGAGGGTGTGTTTATATGTTCTGGAAATATTATTTTTGCATCTAAGCAGTGTTGATTTTAACTGTAAAGAGACAACTTTAGAAGGTGTCTTGTGTTTAATTTAAAAAAGCAACAACACTATTCCCGTTGAAACACTCAGATTAAAATGTCCCAAAAATCCTTATTTTGCATGTCATTTTTGTCATGAATGTGGTACAACTGTATTTATAACAGTTTTGTTTTTTGCAATGGGCAAAATCCTGTCAGCATAGTTCGACACTGTTGTAAACCAGATCTGGATACTGGAAATAATGAATTAAAATGAATAAAATTATCCCCTCCTCACAAGTTTTGAGGCTTGGTAAGTTTTCCTTTTGCCCTGGGGAAGGCTTCGGTTGTAGGGGGAGCCTTTTGGGGTCAGAAATGGCCACTGCTGGGCTTGGAGCCACTAGCAGTAATCCGGTGGTGATTTTTCTTTCTTTCTTTTAGTTCTCCCCACTTGCTATCCCGAGGCTCCCGAAGGCTTTCTTGGTGCAAAAGGGAATCCTAGCGAGCCTCAGAACCGGAAAAGGAGGGAGGAGAGGAAGGCTTTAATAGGTGCTGGTGTGGAGATCATTTCCTTAAGAATTTTTAATGAGGTATATCGAGGGTTTAGGAAAGTATTTATTCATATTGGCCAGCAGAGATAGCCGATCTGACAGAGGATGGTCCAGGTTTTTTTTTTCTCCAGTGTTGGCGTGCTCCACCTCCCGAGGTCGTGGGTTTCATTTTCACACTGCTCTAATAGCTAAGACGTTTTTTCTGATAGTCAGCCTAAATCTGGCTTTCTGTAACTTGGGCTTATCGAGGGTTTAGGAAAGTATTTATTCATATTGGCCAGCAGAGATAGCCGATCTGACAGAGGATGGTCCAGGTTTTTTTTTTCTCCAGTGTTGGCGTGCTCCACCTCCCGAGGTCGTGGGTTTCATTTTCACACTGCTCTAATAGCTAAGACGTTTTTTCTGATAGTCAGCCTAAATCTGGCTTTCTGTAGCTTGGGCTCATTTCTATGTGTCCTGCATTCTGGGATGATCGAGAACAGACTCTGTCCCTCCACTGTAGACCTACCTTTCAGATATTTGAAAAGTGCTATCCTGTCTCACTTCAGTCTTCTTTTCTCAAGGCTAAACATGCCCAGTTCTTTCAGATTTTCCTCCTAGGGCTCGGTTTCCAGTCCCCTCATCATCCTTGTTGCCCTCCTCTGAATTTGCTCCAGTTTGTTGGCATCCTTCTTAAATTGGCTATAAATGACTCTATAGGAAACACACAAAGGACCACAAAATTAGTAATTTAAATTGTATTCCTTTGAACTTTCTTTCCCAGAAAGTTCCTTTGAAATTTTTTTTTTCCAGGATGTTCCTTTGAAATTTCTTTCTAAGTGATGGTTCTTTGAAATGTCTTTCAGAAAATAAGAATGTCTTTGTTTTGTTTTGTTCTATTGTGTTGTACCTTTGCTAAAGACAGGGAAGGGATGTGTCTCTATGCTTCTCAGACAATGGCTGTCTTCCCATGGTTCATTGAGGGGGACACTATACACTGGATTTTGCTTTGCCTATGAAATTCATTGCCTGTCTTTATCTAATTGCTAAATAACAGACATGGTTATGTTTCAAAGTTGCAATGAGAGGGATCTCCACAAGGTACCTGGAGAAAGTCTAAAGGAATGATTTAACAAACAAGAAGAAAACCGAGAGCTAGCGTTCCCAGAGACAACCAAAGAGGGCAGTCTTGCCCAAAGGAATCTGGTGGTCAAGAAGAGTATTCAGCACGGCCAAGAAGTCAAGTAGCACCAACACGGATGAGCAATGTTGAGCCTTGGCCTCCAGGATATCCCTTCAAAACTCAAGAAAGTGCCCTCTGAGTGTTGAGCCCACTTATGTCACTGTCCCTGATAATCAGAACGTCCCAGGGCTTTGACTGTACAAGGCTGGGTTCCGTTTATACCATTGCACAAAATAACTTGTTGCAGGTAACTGTTACTTGCAACTCGTGACTTCCGAATTCCCAGGTCCATAAGGGAAGGGGAAGTGGGAGAGGGAGGGGCACGGACCAGAGGTGTCTGGGTTAATCCCCTCCTCCATCGGAAGGTGATTCCGCCTGTAGACCAGAGAAACCAAGCCACTTGCAGCACCGGGAGAGGCTCCGTGGTGGCGGGGCTGCAAAGAAGACTGGGGGGGGGCGTCACCCTGGCCCCTCTGCTCCGGTCTGGGCTTTCGCAGCTGCATGGCGATGCCAGCCTGGTCCAGAGAGGATTAAGCCCTGAAAGGAGAAGCAGCAGCACGAAGGTGCTGTTTTGTGGGTTCATTATATACAGTATATTATTGTGGGTTCATTCATATATACTGTATTATGTGAGGCTGGACAGCCAGCTTGCAGCCTTATCTACTGGCAGTCTCTGAAATGAGGAACTAGGCTGGCTCTTCCCACATTATAGCTGCACACAAATGGAGCGAGCACATTTTTACACACACACACACAGAGAGAGAGAGAGAGAGAGAGAGAGAGCTGAATAGGCTCATTGATGGATGTCATTGGTGCGGCCGTGGAGGAAGTGGATTTGCATGCTTTACTGGCAAGCCGAATGCCCTTCTCTCGCTCTCTGTGAAGATGCTCCACCCTTCCATCTGCTGGTGTCATCTAAAGACCCAGCCCTGCTTGCCTGGAGGAGGAAAGGTTTGTCTCACAGCTAAGCCAAAGGACTCCAACTGCTACCTGAGGGCCCTGTTTCAGAGAGGATTAAGCCCTGAAAGGAGAAGCTGCGGCATGAAGGTGCTCTTTTGTGGGTTCATTAAAAACTTGCTCCCTCCATTTGCGTGCAGCTATAATGTGGGAATAGCCAGCCTAGTTCCTCATTTCACAGACTGCCAGGAGATGAGGCTGCAGGCACAAACGGCTGAATAGGCTCATTGATGGATGTCATTGGTGCGGCCGTGGAGGAAGTGGATTTGCATGCTTTACTGGCAAGCCGAATGCCCTTCTCTCGCTCTCTGTGAAGATGCTCCACCCTTCCATCTGCTGGTGTCATCTAAAGACCCAGCCCTCCTTGCCTGGAGGAAGAAACGTTTGCCTCACAGCTAAGCCAAAGGACCTGAGGGCCCTTTCAGAAAGAGCTCAGACATAATGACTTGCCAGCAATGAATTACCTGTGGCTCATTCCTTTTCAGCATAACTAAATTACATGGTTCAGTGTAACAAGGGATGGCATTGCTCCTTTTGCAGTGTCACTGTAACTCTTAGTTACTTTTATAGTTCCAGGTTTTTACTTACTCTTATAGTTCCTTCTGGCTGATTAGATCGCACACTGAATCATTTGTTTGCTTTTCAAAAGTGACTTAAAAGTATCAAATAACAAGGAACTAAAGAGTTTATTTTTTTAAAAAAAAGGAACTATAAGAATAACAAATACCAATTACTTTTCAAAGGAACTTTCCCAGTTCTGCTTCCTACCGCAGAAAAAAAGGTGGGAAGCAGAGAGCAGGAGTAATACAGCAGAAACTCACTGCTAGCTGTCAAGTCACTTCCGCAACTGCACTGCATGGTATCTTAAGGCAATCACTGCATATTTCTTGGTATCTTAAGGCAGCAAATGGTATAGAACCCTCTTATCCACAGGCTCACTATCTGCTGTTTCGTTTATCCGCAGTCTGGAAATATTAAAAAATATTAAAAGAAAAACCTCAAAAATATATATATTTTTAACGATGAAGTTAGCAAAACTGGCCACTAGAAAGAGCCAGAGACCATGCTACATATTGCATTCCTTATTATAACAGCGTTTGTCATAATTTGCGTTTTTCAGCATCAGTGAAAGGGGATTGGAGCTGAACCTTGTGGAGAGGGGATCCTACTGTAGCTTAAATACAACATTGCCTAATCAGCTGTTGTAACGGCCACCTTTCTATTACAGTTTGGGAAGGTTGCTTGTTTGTTTCTGAACATGACATGGCTCGGCTGGCTAGGCGCCTTCTTTGAATTGTTATCCAAACAAAGGAACAAGCCAGCAAGCCCGAAAATGCTTCCAAGTCCTGTTGAAGAACAACATCGTTTGGGCTGCGGTGGCCCCTGCTGTGCCGTTTGTGTGCCTATTATGGGAGCAACACATCCCGTTAAATCCAAGTCCTTCGTGCAAGGAATGGAGGATGGAATGACCTTCATTTTAGAGTTCCTTCCAAACGGATTTACTGTAGTCATCTGGGCATCTTTTCAATTCTACTCCCCATTAAAATGTGCGCCGTGTCTTTCAGTTTTATGAGTGGCTGCCTCCCTGCTTCCAGTGCTAGAGAAATGAACCTATTTCCCATTTGATATAGAAGCCTGTCTTCTCCGCTGAAACCAGCAGGTAAACAATCCTTGTGTTCCACCTGGAATGGATGCACGTCTCTCTCACTAAGAGGACCCGAGGTCTTCTGGGCGCAGAAGGTGGCCAGCGTTGGCCTGGTTGAATTTTAAAACTCCCTGCCTAATGGGGCTGAGAGAAGGTCTGCCATTAGTATTCTGGCGGCGTGCACACAAGCTTCTCCCTTCGGTCCTATTCACAACGGCAATGAATGGAGGCTACTTGTGCAAATCCGAAGAGACTAAAGCCCCGGAAAGCACAATTCATACATTTCCTTTGTTGGGAGGGTGGGGGGAGGCAGGAAAACTCTTCCATTTTTGCAACCATGCTAAGCCTGCAATACCGCAACTCTGCTTCCTGTGCACATGATTTCTGCCTAACGCACACACATGCAAGAAAAATTGTTCTGCGTCGAGAATTGTCAACCACAGGGATTCACGCCAGCAACCTGAGCCCAGCCTCTTTTACCCCCCCATGGGCCCTTCCTCCAGGGATCCCACCTCCCCTGTAAACCTTCCCTGTCACTAATCTCGTTGCCATTAAACAACACAACAAGAAGGGTCTCATTTGAACACTGGTGACACCGAGGCGACTTCCAAGCTTCCTCTTTTAAATGAACCTATTTCCCATTTGATATAGAAGCCTGTCTTCTCCGCTGAAACCAGCAGGTAAACAATCCTTGTGTTCCACCTGGAATGGATGCACGTCTCTCTCACTAAGAGGACCCGAGGTCTTCTGGGCGCAGAAGGTGGCCAGCGGCCAGTGTTGGCCTGGTTGAATTTTAAAACTCCCTGCCTAATGGGGCTGAGAGAAGGTCTGCCATTAGTATTCTGGCGGCGTGCACACAAGCTTCTCCCTTCGGTCCTATTCACAACGGCAATGAATGGAGGCTACTTGTGCAAATCCGAAGAGACTAAAGCCCCGGAAAGCACAATTCATACATTTCCTTTGTTGGGAGGGTGGGGGGAGGCAG